CCTCTGAGCCTTGAAGACTTAGGTGTCTGGAAGCTCTTGTGTCACATTCTAGCTTAGACTTGGTCATGGCTGTGTGTGTGTGTGTGTGCGTGCATGTGTGTGCTTGTGGACATCTGTATGCGCAAATGTGTTCTTTGCCATGCGGTCATGGCTTTGCGTGTGTGCACGTGTATGTGTATGCATACGGTGTGTGTGTATGTATGTTTGTATGTGTGTGTATGTATATGCATATGGACATCTGTATGTGCACATACATGTTATTGGTCCCATGTGATCATGGCTTTGTGTATGTGTGTGGATATCTGTATGTGCACATGTGTTTTTGGCCATGTGGTCATTGGCCCCATGTAGTCATGGCTTTGCATATGTGTGTGTGTATATAACATCTGTATGTTCACATGTGTTCTTGGCCATGTGTCATTGGCCCCATGTGATCATGGCTTTGTGTGTGTACATGTATGTGTGTGTCTATGTGTATGTGTGAATGTGTGTATATGAGTGTGTGTATGTGTACGTGTGTGTGTGTACAACTATATGTACACATGTTCTTGGCCATGTGTCATTGGTCCCATGTGATCATGGTTTTGCACATGTGTGTACATGCATGTGGACATCTGTAATTGCATATGTCTTCTTGGCCATGTGTCACTGGTCCCATTAATCTCTGCTCCTACCCTGAAGCCTGTCCTGCCTCCACCGTCCTGCATGATGGTTGGCCCCATGGGTAGTTGCTGCTTGTCTCATACCCAGGTTCTCTGTTCAGGACCGGGCAGGGGGTGTGCCTGAAAGCTTGAGTGTGTTGATGGCTTTGGGAGTGGAGAAGAGGGCAATTCAGAGAGGTCACTAGTCCTGATGGCTCTCTCCAAGACCTGTCTGTTCCTGTAAGGCAGATTCCAGGCCAGAGGCTTCCAGGCTGAGCTTGCTGGGTGCTGGGGCTCCAGTGCTGGAGTGCAGCTCACATCAAGCCCAAAGGCCAATGGCTAGATCCTCTTAATTCTGGGACCCTCTCTGACCATAACTGTGACCAGTATGGACAGCCAGGTGCCTCTGGATACCTGGCCACCCAGTCTTATTAACCGCTGGTTTGCCTTTCACAGCCAAGCCACCTGCCCAACCCCCACGGGAGAGAAAAGCTACAGCCCTTTTAGGAGTTGGTGCTGTGTCGGGGTACAGAAGGGAAACCAAGCAGTTCTATCACGCGGAGGACAGGCCCAGGCTGGCTGCACCAGAGTCGAGAAGTGCCACCTCATCGTAGTTGAAGCCGCCTTCTGCACAGCATCCCATTGACGGCCACGCCCGGCAAGGTCCCGGCGCCTTTTCCAGAGTGACTTACTTAGAGGGAATTCCATTTACCTATACTTTTATTTTGCACTTTCCTACTGAAGATGCGAACGTGTTTGTCTTGATAAAAAGTTGGATGACGTGTGGAAGATTCAGATTCACGACACTCCTGTCTGTCACCGGCTCCAGATCTCAAGGGGAAGCTCTTTGGAGGCCCTTGGTGCTGCTGTTCTATGGACTCACTGCGGCCCCGGGAGACTGCAGCATCCAGTGTTCTGGAAAAACCCTTAGTGTGTCCCCCGCTCCCCATCTGGACCCGTGTGACTGCCCTTCCGCTCCAGACCCCTGTCTGCTTGGGACCCTAGTGCTAGCGGGGGAGGGGATCGGGTCTGGAGAGTGGCTGCCTAACCTGCTGATGCCCAGCTCGGGAGACCACCAGGTATACTCCATTTCCTGGCAGGAGCGCATATCTCAAGGGCTCTGGAATCTCTTGTTTCCAGTGGACGTGTGGTGACATCGGTGATGTGTGGCAGACTGAAGTGAGGGTACTTCAGAGGGTGGAACAGACTTAGACCTGGGCCAAAGCTCCTGCAGGGGTTTCTGGACATTTTCTGTTTGCAGGTGTGAGGTGTAGACAGGTGCGAGCCGGTGTCTCAGAGAGGGTCGTGTTTGTTGGGTGGCCCTGAGAGACATGTACCATTCACTCACCTTGGCACAGACTTCCCTATGCAGAGCATTCTGGGCCACAGATGCCAACCAGGGCTGAATTTATCTCTGTTGTCTTGGTCCTAGAGAGGCCTTGACTAGGGCAATATCTGCATGGAGTAGGGGCCACAGGAGCCTTTGTTGGTCCTCAGAGGGTATGGAGAGGGCTGTGCTTGGAGGTGGGTCTGGAGCCGAAGGCTTCTTTAAATCCTTACTAGCTGGAGCCTTCATGGCCTCTGGCCTTACTTCCTGCAGGGAAAACTTAGAGTGCTGGGATCATCTTCCCATGTCACTGTTGGCACGACAGCTTGTCTTGCTCTACCCCCCAGGCTGTGGCACCATGTAATGGTCCATGCTGGGGTGTGGGTGGATGGAGCCTGCCAGGCTCCAGGCCTGTGTCTGACCTTCTCACTGGTCCTGGCTCAACCTGCAGATATCCTGGGGTTCAGTTTATTCTGATGATGATGAAGGGGCTTGGAGAGAGAAGCCAGTTGGGTCCGGGGGAGATTGGAAAGGGTCAGATTCTCCCTGGAAAAGGAGTTGGGGGTATGCAGCATCACTGGGCCCACCAAGAATGGGGTCAGGTCTCCGTGGCTTGTTTTGAGGACACTTGGGCAGGTGGCTGGCCTTTACTTAGCCCATATGTGCACATCTGTAACATAGTTCCTCCTCTGCTCCTGGAGGGCTGGACCCCCATCGATTCTTCTACTGTGGCACTTCTACACTTGAGTGTCTATCCAAATCTTAAGGCCAGCAACTGGCTGCACACTGTGGGTAGGCGAGGGCGGGGAAGGGGGCTCTGGTCACAGACAGGACCTCTGCAGGCTTGAGTGCATTATGATGGCTGACACCCTCACCGCCCCCCCCCCCCCCCGCCGCTCTCTAAGAAGGGTTGTCCTCTGCACGGGAGTGTCTTCCCTAACTCGCTCCCCAACCCAGGGCCTCTGTGCTAATCCCATCGGTCAAGACGGTCAGTCCTGTTGGCCTCATTCGGAATCGTGTGGCCTCCTTTGCCATAGCGACACCCTGAGACTTGGGCCTGCAGGCTCACGTGGGGCGGAATAGGGTCTGTGTCTCTGACCTCAGGGGTTCATCCCTTCTCTGAGGACTTCCCCCAGGAATCTTGCTCTGTCTGTCCATCTCTGCTTTTTCCTAGGCCATTCCCACCCTCTGTGGCCTTCTCCTCTCCACAGTCACCTTGACCTGAGTGAGCCCCCTGCTGGCTTGGGAGGGCCTATGTTCCCTGTGCCCAGGCAGCTGGGGAGAGGACAGAGTCCTTCAGAGTGTTCTCATCTTGGCCCTTCAGCTATCTCCTGCTGGATAATCATGGGAGAGAGGTGGGATCTTGAGGTGGCTCTAGTTTTGCTGCTGATAGAATTGGGTCCTCAGGCCTGAGCTGTCAGAGCCGCAGTGACATTTCCGGCTACTTTGGCTTGCTTGATTCTGTAGGATTTCTGTGGAAGGTGTGGGGTGGCTCTCAGGTGACATAGGGGGGTTTAGGTCAAAGCTACAACATCTGAGGGCACCCCCCTCACGCACTCCTGCTGTGAACTGCTTCCTCTGCTTCCTATCCTCCAGGGCCACCTGTGAGTCAGGGTTCCCTCCCCCATCCTCTGGGTGCTCCCTAACCCATGTGGGCTGCTGGCTCAGTGACACCTGCAACCTGTCCAAGTCTTGAGTCCTGCAGGGGGGCACACTGAGGGTGGCCTGGGGGCCAGGGATCTTTGTAGTCTGATAGAATGGGCAAGCATTGATACTTGGAGCTTCTAATGTGTACCAAGGAAGGTGGCTGGGGGCCTAGGCTGCCCCTCCCTCCAACTTCACTGTCTTGGCCTACCCACAAGGGTGGACAGCCCCACCCACACCCCCACGGCGCTCCTGCACAGAGCACAGCAAGGAGGAGGAAGCCAACCTGCCCTATTTATATACCCGGAAGTTTACAGGTTGTGGCGCGTCAGCCCAAAGTCTTTGGTGTCCTCGTGTTTATGGATATTTTCCCTCTTAATTTTCAGATTTTTTTTTAAAACAAAAGTATTTTTTTAGGTACGATAACCCAGAAAGGGCCTGTTGGGTGTGTGTGTATATGTCCTGAGCTCTCCACATAGGCACCTAGGGACCAGAGCCCAGGTCAGAGGCATCTCTTCCACCTGGCCTGGAGAGGAGGAAGGGCCCCCCTGCTGCCTGCCAGGGTCAAGCTAGACTGCAGGGAGTTCTCTTCCTGCTCAGGCCGGCCTGGCATTTGTCCCATCCTTGCCCAATCCAGCACACCCTGATGAAGTCAGAGTAGGTGCTCGGCGCCAGCTGGGAGCATCTCACCAGGGGTCCCAAGGGCACATACGGGAGACCCTCTGAAGGCTGTCCTGGGGAAGGCTGGACGGACTAGCCAGTGTTATCTCCACTTGTATTCTCTGTGTGTATGTTTTGGTTTCTGTGTTTTAATAAACCCTTTGGGAAGGGACGGAATTGCTGTAGTTCTTAGCCTCGGTGATTTAGGTCGGGGATGCACTGAGTGGTCGGGGAGGTGAGGGTCCTTTCCCAAAACTTCTACACTTATGGTTGGTATCCACAGTTCAGGGCTCACAAGGAAGGAGGGGAAACCTTAAGTAGCAGTGTTGCTGGAGGACACGCCTCCTACAGGTACCCCCCCAAGACACATTGCTGTGATCCATGTGCTTCTCCAAACACACCAACAGGAGAGTGACAGCCGGCTAGTCCCTAAAAGGCATGGTGCTCCCCAACCGTCAGCCCTGGGCCTTTGGAGGCATCAGCAGAGCCGGGCTGGTGCACAGGCTTCAGCGATGTCATCTGGGAGAGGTCGGGGTGGATCTTGTGACTTTCCCTACCCCATTTCCATGCCCTGTACTTGGTCCCTTCCCCCATCTTGTCCTTAGCTGTAGAGTTGGCTTCGGGGTGGGTGGGGGGTGGGGAACCCAAGACCTCAGCTCCCTGCAGTTGGCAGCTCTGCCCTCCCTCTGGGGCTGCCTCTGAGGAAAGGAGAGGACAGAAACACGGAGACCAGAGGGCTCGGGTTTTATTTGCCATTCCATAAATACGGGCCGCACCTTGGTCTGAGTCTGTCGGGAAGCTGGAGGCGTTTGCGTCGGCCTGGTGGGGTGCAGTTAGCGAGGAGCCACGCCCATTAAAATGGAGAGAAAGCACATTATGTACACAAGAGCAGGCACGCGGGTGCCCTGCTGTGCCTCAGGACCTTGGGTCTGGGATGAGCAGGAGCTGGGTGCCAGCTCTGTTCCTCTACGTAGCTCTCCTCCTGCACCAGGCCCGGCAGGCAGACTGCTTCAAGAAGGTGGAGAGAGGCTGGCTTGGGGTGACCAGCAGGCAGCTGGGCTAAAGGGAGGAGAGGCCATGGAGGAAGGAGATGGCCTCAGACTCTTCGAGGGTTGGGGCAAGCTCCCCGTGATGGGCTGTCTGCACTTGATCGACTTCTGTGGCCTCCCAAGCCCCTCCTCCTCCACAGCCCGCCACAGAAGCTTAAGAAGCCAATCCCCGACTCTTCAAGAGTGTGTATGGAAGAAAACATCTCAGAAACACTTGGTTAAAATGTCTTCTGCATCTCGGGCTCCTGTGGGCCTTAGCCCTGCAGACTGTTTTCCTATTTCTTGCACATACCCAGCCAGAGCGTAGCTCTGAGGTGTGGTTCACAGGCAGGCAGCGGCTCCTACTGTGGGCATCCCTGCATGCCTGGCCCACCTAGCAAGCAGGGCCAGGGCCAGCTGTGTGGACAGGTCTGGTACTTCCTGCTGCGCCACTGCAGGGCCCTGTCCAGGAAGCTGGCTCCTCTAGCAGGCATGGAAGTACCAGAGTCCAGTGTCCTCCATCCCCACACCCACAGGGCTGCTTCTGAGGTCTCAGGGGTCAGCTCTATGAGCGGCGAAGGTTTGAGAGCCCAGGTTTTTCAGAGGGGGGTTGTATGTGTGAGAGGAAGCTACCCACCCTGTCTGCCTTTCTTCTTGTCTACTCCCCATAACCCTACCCTAGTTCTCACCTCTGCCTAGCCTTAAGAACAGCAGGGAGGAGCCTTGGAATAGCAGCTACAGAAGGCGAAGCCAGGGTGCTATGCATCCAGGGCTTGTGTCTGGGAGCTGGCCATAGCCTGTCCAGGGCAGGAGGCTGGTTTCCTAGGGAGCCAGCTGGGTAGGACCCTGTCCCCCAGAGCATCACAAGACCATGGGATTGGGCCTCCAGGCAGCATTTGCTGCCCAAACCTGCAGGCTTCCCGGCACCAACACCCATGTGGCTCCCACTGAAAAGGGGCTGTCCATCCTTCCCACTCTCTCTCTCCCCATCCCGCCCTGGGCCAGCATGAGGGTGCGCAGAAGGGAATGGGGGTCCTAGCCATTTTTTCCCAGGGAGAGGCCCTGGGGGATCTATTCTTACAACACAGAGATTATTACTGAAGTTCTCCCTTAGTCCCTTAGCTTTCATCAATGGAAACCCCAGGGGGCTCTAAGTGCTTCATCCGTGCAAGAGCCCACATCATGAGCCCACTGCTCTGGGCACAGCAGAGGTACTGGAGGAAGGTCTGTGAAGGCTTGGGCCCAGCCTGCTGCCACCTGCCTGTGGTGGGGCCAGCTGCCACACTTGTCCATGAGTGTCTGTCTTGAGAGGCATTCTGCAATGGGCTCCATGTGGGGCTCGGCAGTTGTATGCAGGGCGGAAGACGCTGGGAAAGCCAGCTGGGATCCCTGCCCCTGCCAGCAAGGGTAAGGGTGGGCGCCAAGGGCCAGCTGGGTAGAATCCCAGCCAAGGCCCGGTGCACATGTGGGGCAGGTCAAGGCCTGGGAAGAGTGGGATCCCAGGTCAGCCTTGAACAAAGTGCCTGATGTCCCTGGAAAGAGGGAGGCCCTGCTCTCACCATCAGGACTCTGGGAGAAGGGTGCACACCCCTGTGCTGAGACAGAGGTTTCTTGGCAGAGAGGCCAGCCCTGCCTGCTCTGAGGACCTCCACCCGGCCATGGCTTCTAGAATCCCCATGAAGGGCCATGGCTGGGGGCAAGTGTTTCTTCTTGAAGGATAAGCAGAGGTGGTGGGCTTGGGTGGGAGCCTCTGGATGTCTCCCTGATTGATGCCATCTTCTGGCATCCGTCGGACAGTATCCAGTGAGGAAGCGGCAGGCGGCATCTGGCGGTGACTTTGGAGATCAGTTTCCGGTAACGTCTGGGCATAGTGTTTTCCCCCCCTTGGATGTGAACCACACTCTGCATTTGGCTTTGAAACAGCAGAAGCGAGCGAAGAGAGACAAGGAGGGTGGAACTGTCCGAGCGGGGGCGGGCAGAGGGAACCGGGAACTGTCCGAGCAGGGGCGGGGTAACTTAGGATCTGTAGTCCTTTTTGCTGTAGGGTTTATTGCCCAGAATGCTGTCGATCTCGTGGACGATGGAAGACGACAATTTTGGAAGGACCTGCGTGCAAGGATAAGAGTGTAGCGGAGAGGTGGGTGACTCTTCCCAGTGTCTCATGGTTCTATGCTTTTCACCCACCAGGGATCCAGCCTTGGCTACCATCATTAGGTCCTATCAGGTCTTTCGGTCTGAACTTGGCCTCCCTCTATGCCAAGAGTCCCAGCAAAAGCCTTCTAAACGCCCAGCTGGGGCACGCCCTGTTCCACGTTAAACCTCCATCTCAGCTCCAGGGCATGCCCCTCTGCTCCAGATCCTCTGACCTCCCGTTACCCAGACGGCTCTTTGCTGAGTAGCTGCACAGCTCCTTCGTGCCTTTCTGAGTTTGTTTCAAGGGCTCCTTTCCTTTGAAGGCCCTCGGGTCTCTAATGCCTCTGCCCCCTGCATTCTGCATCTCTGCCTACTCTGGCCTCTCCGTTCACAGTGGTGGCTCGACACACCCACTCACAACGTTTGAGTCTGATTCTGTGAGGACCAGCTCTGCACAAGCAGGGCTCGCTGCCATCCCTGTATGTCCTATACTCCTGGAAGGGTGTCCAGTGAAGCTGTGTCTCCAGGAAGGCTGGGGCTACCTGAGCCCCGAGCAGGGCCTCAAATCTCACCTGTATTGCTCCAATGTTCTCCATAAGTTGTTCTGCATTGGAAGCACCCAGAAGCACAGAGCTGACACCTTCGTTCCTCAGGCACCAGGCTGTGGGCAGCAAGACCAGAGGTGAGGGCGGGACCTTCTGCAGAGCCTGTCTGAGTATGCTTGGGCAAAAAGGTACTGGAGCTCTTGTCTGGGGTCTGAGGGTACCTGGAATGCTCACTAGTTCTGGGAGAGTTTGCCCAAGGGGTATCTAGAAGAAGTTCTGGCCACATTGCCTCTGCTGGAGAGGCGGCCCAAGTGTTTAAAAGACTCCTTCTATCCTCCATGACCCCTGGCTAGCTGGCCTGAAGGTCTAGGCTGGTGGTCTAGGCTCTTAAAGAGACACAGATTCCAACACTGCCCCTGACAGTCCTTACCTTAGCCATCATGGGGGTGCTGTCCAGAGGTCCCTACCTTTCTTTCCTCAGTGTAGCTAGACAAGTACCTAAAGACAGCTGGGGAAGGTGTAGCTCAGGCCCTCGGGGAACCCCAGGAACAAGTGTCTCACTACTCTACCCAAGCCCATTACCTATGGCCAGCTGGGGTAGGGTGCAGCCTAGGCGCTCGGCAATGGCCTGGAGTTCCTTCAGCTTGGCCTGCTGGCGGCGACCCTCTTCACTCAGGATCTTGTCCTTCAGCCACTGGTAGCCCTGCGAAGGGGAAAGCCCTGGTAAGGGAAGGTCCCTGGATCTCCAGATGCAGGTAGCTGACTGGCTCCTCTAGAGACTCCTTCCTGGCTCTTTGGTCCCCTGGTCTCATGTTTGCCTTGGGCCAGACTTAGACAGAACCTTCCATATCATGAAGGAGATGGTTTGTGGTGGATTGACCCAACCCTGAGCCAGAGGCACAGGCTGTCCACCATTGGCCCCAGAGGAGCCTTCTAGGACTCAGGCTGGGGAGACAGTGAGACATAATGTTGGGGTTCAGGGCTCTTGTCTCTTGAATATGAACATTCTCATGCTTCCTGGGTATTCAGCAAGGGTATGGGTTTGGACTTTGGGCCAACTCTTAAGCTTTGGGGTCTCCGTGATGGGAGTGTGGGATGATCACAGAGAGGGAACATACCATACATCAGCGGACCAGCCTGTACTGTGAATGTCAAACCATGGAAGAGGCCAAGGTAGGGGAGTGGTTCATGGGCCTGCTTACCTGGGGCCAGCCCGACAGGTACCAATGGCATCCCTCCCACACCCAGCTGTGCTCACCTTCAGGGAGGCTCTGGAGTAAGGCGGGATCCCACTGTCATACTTTCCTGAGACGATGCCGCAGGCCAGAGGGGACCAGGTCATGGCACCTACTCCTGAGAGAGTGCAAGAGAGAGCAGGTGAGGCCAAGCTGGGGCCTGAGGGAGGTGAGGAGCGGCTGTCCGGCGAGGTAGGACGGACAGTACCCACCTATCTTGTGGAACAGCTCTGGCAGTTGGACCTCCACCTTCTCCCTCTGGAACATGTGATACTCGGCTTGCTCGCAGATGGGCGGGATCAAGTTGAACTGTCGAGCCACTGAGTAGGCCTCCTGTGGTACGGAAGCAGCACATTGCCATCAGCACACTGCCCAGCACACTGCCGTCAGCAGACCTGCGGCCCCAGGGGCTGTGCTGCTCCTTCCACTACCCACCCCCACCCTCTGAGAATCCTAGGCAGGCCCCTGTGAGCCGGAAGAGCGTGGGCTTTGGAATCCAAAGACAACGGTCCTTGGAGGAGCTGCAATGTAGTAACACATGGGGCTGGGGCAAATGGTTCGTGGTACCTCAGTTTCCCCATTTGTCATACGGTTCCAATGAGTCAAGGTGTTTGTAGCCCTTCTAATTGGGCCTGGCTTATGAGTGGCACTCACAGTTTGCCTGCTGGACAGCATGGCTGTTGCTCTGTGTCTCTGGACCTATGGTGAAGGTGGTGGTAGCAATTGCCTTTGGGAGGTAGGAGCTCTATTGACCCTGGGATCAGGAGCTTGGGGCCTTGGCTTGAAGGTGCTCCCTCAAATTTCACGGATGGGGTGAGCTCGCTACTGTTTGTAGACAGCTGTATGGTGGAGGACAAGCTTGCCACTTAGGGAGGCCCCTGTCCTGCTCTGGTCTGAGACTCAGCTTCCTCATCTATAAAGTGGGATAATGACACTCAGATTTTTCTGAGCCCTGTGCCGGCAGTGCCTAGTCAGAGCAAGATGCATGACAAAGGCTCCAGAATGCACTGGAAAGCTGAGTTAGGCCAGTGTCTTCTTAAGTCCCCCAGGATTTGAAACAAAACCCCATCTGCACTTCCTGCCATCACAGGATGAAGCAGGAGCCAGCTATTCACTGCAGCTACAGCTATGGAATGCTGGGATGCTGGGCATGGGTGGGGTGAGGTGAGATGTGGAGCGGGAGGCGGTGTGGTCAGGAAAGAGCCTCTGCTATGCCCCTGGCCTCAGGCTGCAGGATGAAGGCAGTCTCTTCATCTGGGCACTCCCTTCAGGGGATCTGTCGACAGGGACATCCTGCTGACTCTTCCTGGGAACCACAGAATACCTAGGGACATAGGCTGCTCTAGCCTCTGGCTCCCATGGAAGAAGAGGACAATTATTGGGGTGCTTTCCTGAGAATATGGACGAAGGGAGAAACCACGGATTAACAGAAATTCGGATCCCAGCCTCTGGGTCAGTCATTTTCTCTGACTGGTATCAGTCTTGAATTAAGGCAGTGTGACCTTAAGAGTGGAACTTCGCCGGGCGGTGGTGGCACATGCCTTTAATCCCAGCACTTGGGAGGCAGAGGCAGGCAGATTTCTGAGTTCGAGGCCAGCCTGGTCTACAGAGTGAGTTCCAGGACAGCCAGGGCTACACAGAGAAACCCTGTCTCGAAAAACAAAAAAACAAAACAAAACAAAAAAAAAGAGTGAGACTTCACCCCGATCTTTGATCTCCCCGTTGGAGACACGGGTCATCATCAGCATTTGCCTCCTGTGGTACTATAGAAGTTAAATCTCAAATCTAGCAGAACACCCTAGCGAGCGGCAAGCAGCGTAGGTGCCGCAGATCGCTTAGGCTCTAAGATCATGCTTCAGGTTTCCTATAGGTTTTCTGGAGAAGCCTCAGAGCAGGCCATGAGGGTAAGCTATGCCAGCAGGCTTGTTCTATAGATATGGAAACTGAGTCTCTGAGGGCAAGCTGTCACCCATGCAGGACCATGTAGGGCCATGTGTTCCTGTGAGTCAAGCTGAGACCCACAGGTCTGCCAACCACACCCCCACCGTGCACATGTGCCCAGAGTCCAGTTTCTCCTCCCACAACCACCCCCTCCCCACGCCTGTGGACACATGGGCGTCACCCTACCATGATCTCCATGGAGCTCCAGCGTGATGTGCCCCAGTACATGGCCATTCCCTGGTTGATGACATGGGTCATGGCCCGCACAGTCTCTGAGAGAGAGAGAAGAGACCATGTTTGGGAGAGCTGGGGCTCAGGGCCAGCCTGGGGATGGTCTGCAGATGCAGGTGGTGTGCCAGGAGGAGGGAGCAGGCTGCAAAGGCATCTTGCAAGCAGTGTACTTCCTGGCTCCCAGAGCTGGGGGTGGGTGTTGGGAAGGGGAGATTCCCGGAGAAAAGAAAATGGACCGGAAATCCCGAAGACAAGTTCTCTGACAAGGTTAGGCATGCCTGGATCCTTGGGAAAGGTTTATAGATAGGTAGACTGATGTCTCCGTGGCTGGCTACGGAAAGGAAAGATGATGAAGGCCAGGAGAGGGTCTTAGACTCTAGAATGAGGAAATGAAAGCCCTGATCACTGAGGGGGACCAGCTGGATGAAGGTGACAGTCAGCCTGGCCACGGTATCGCTGCTGTTAGCAAAGCTTGCAAATGCAGCTCCTCAGGCTCCAGAAGGCCACTCTCACTGGGGGCAGGAGGATTTCGGGGAGGGAAGGATGGTTGGAGTCTGCAGGGGGCAAAGGCAGGCCCTTGAGGCTGGGCTTTCTTGTCTCAGTGCCTGGGGAGCCAGAAGCAGAAGTTGAAAGTTTTGGGGAGATAATGTCCAGGTTGGAGTCTCCCTTAGTACATGCTATTCTCAGGGCAGCGGGGCATGGGAGGGAGTGTGTGTGTGTGTGTGTGGGTAACTGTCCTTCTGTGAGGGGTCAAGGTCTGGAGCAAATAGCTGTAGGGTTTCACAAAAGCCAAGACTTCCAACATCCCAAGGAGTTAACAACTGAACCCCTACCCCATCTTCTTCTAGGGCAAGAGTAGGACTCTCTCAACCCCAACAACACAGTCTTCCTTATAGTCCAGAGTTTGGGGGGCATAAAAAATCTTCCTGTTGAAAGTATAAAAGGGATTTGGAGAAGAATGAGATCACCAGGGTGGGAGGAGAACAAGAGGGTGGTGGTGGGGAGTGCGGTGGGAATACATTATACACGTGTAGGAACAGGTCGGAACAGAAGCCATCACGACGGACAGTCCTACGAGCTGGTTTAAACACCCTGCCACGTGTAGACCTTCTCCCTTGGCTGTTTTGCCTCTTAGGGATCTGTTGGTTGTTAAAACAGAAGGTGGCCCTGGTGGGGGTGAGGGCCGGCTCCGTGGATTTCCCGCAGGTCTGATACAGTGCTTGCAAGGTTGACAGCCAAAGGCAGGGTAGGAATGGAGAGGGGGCAAGTGTTTCTAAAATCGTAGTGGTAACATCTGCCTCTTCTCCGAATGCTCCACCCATCCCGGCGCCAGATACCCGGACACAGCGAGAGAAGGGAGGGGAGGAGGAAGACAATGCCAGAGCTGTTCTGGGAGCCTGCCTCCAATGGGCACTGGACTCACTACCTCCTGGAATGGGGTGCAGTGCTGGCACCTGTCTGCCCTGTTTGGGGGTCTCTTACTCATTTTGGGTCCCTATACTTCTTTGGCTAACGTCTACTTATGGTGGAATCCAGGGCGTCCTCATATCTGGTACCAAGTCCGCACGGCTTCTGGTAGAGTGGTCCCAGTAAGTTCACCCAGAATGCCAGGGAAGTCACATTTTACGCTGTACCCACAGGGCAACTCTGCCCTTGCCTGTCTTCTGAGGTCAGGGACTGTGGCTCTTTGGGGTCTTCTTTGCCCTGCCTAGGTAAGGGACATATGAGTAGAGAGGTTGGGTCTTCTGGGACCTTTAAATGACATGGTTTACATCCAGAAGAGGTCATCTAGAGGGTTCCGGGGCCTACTCAACGGAGGCCGGGCTCCTCAATGGGCTGTCCTTGTTAAGATGTTTAGAAACACTCTTGGGGGCACCCCAGACCATGCAGCGTGGTTCCCCTATTCTTTTCAGCCAAGGCTTAGGTCCACATGCCAGAGACAGGGAGGCCAAGAGGACAGCTCACAGGAGTCCCTCTCCCCAGGATCCCCCAGAGCTCTGTTTGGTCACGGTTATGAAGATCACAGCCAGGGGGTCTGCACTATGCCCTTCCCATGCAGTGAGAGAGATGGAGACAGTCTGGCACCTGGGAATCAGGCAGATGGACAGGAGTCTGCTGTGACTGGCTGCTCTGAGGGGCAAGGGAACCTAGGTCCCGGGGGGATCTGGGCAGAGGTAGGCTCCATGTCGAACACATGTTCAGGAGTACTGTGCACCCACTCCAACATGTCAGTGGACTCTGAAACAGTGACACTTAGGGACGACTGTCTTTCACCTCAATAATTAATACGGCTGGACAGAAGCAGGGGGTGCCAACTCCTTCCAGCTGCAGCCAAAACCCAGGGCATCTCTGCAGCATCACAAATAATACATAGGAGGGGTCAGGTGGCAGCACCAGGTGGCAGGTAGATGTCCTTCCAGTGTGGAACGCTGCCCAGCTCCTAGGGAGACAAAGGCTTACCCTTGGGGGTGGGGTTCTAGGGCCCTTTGCTGATTGTGGGGGGCAGATACCAAGCATGGCACACGGAAGCCCTGGGCCTCAGCATCATGCCAGCTCACATACATATTCTCCAAGGACGAGAATCACTCCATTTCGATGGATTGTCCTGGGTGCTGAGTAGACACGAACGACCACAGAGCCAGGACGCTCACAAGGAACCAGCATGGTAGACAGGACAGCTTGTTGGCTGGTGTTCTGTGCCTCTGTTGGAGGCTAGAACTTAACAAGTGTTAGCTATGAAAGAGATTGAGTCCCGGGAGATTAGGGGTCCCAGGATCCTTCTGGAAACCTAGTCCTTCCTAAACTTTCCTATCGTATCATCCAAGGTCAAGTTCCCAGGTAGGGACTGGAGCATCCTCAGATCAAGAGAAGACCCTGGCAGAAAGCCAGCCGGCCACCGCAGGTCACGGCACCGCAAGCATGGAGGGGGGGGGGGACATGCACGCTGGGAGGGAGGGGATGGGGGATGGCAGCGCAGATGGACAGCAAGGGACAGCTCCGCCGACACCATTTTGCTTTCCCTTTGCTTGCACGATGTCCTCACGGGGCACGTCCCCACCCCTTATGCATTTTATGGAGAAGTTTGTCATGGGGGGGGGCAGAGCATCGTGAATAAAAGTACTGTCTCATAAAATGCAGCTCGGACAGAGAGTCAATAGTCGGCTGAGGGTACTGTGTACCTTCAATGATGAATGTCCGTGACTTGAAGGAACTAAATGGGTCCCCTGCTGATAAAAGAAAGGTTTAAAAAGACCAGAGTTTATCGCTGTGGGAACAGAGGCCTGGTATGATCGAGGGCAGGATAGAAGGGCACAAATCATTGCACAGAACAGAGTTCTGTTAAAAAGAAAGGATATATATATATATATACACACACACACACACAATTGTGGTGTATATATATAAAAGCAAACGGAAACAAAATAACCAGTTCAACTTAACCTCCCGAGTCCCTGAAGCAGCGAAGCATAAATGAGAAGATGCCGAGGCAGCAGGTGGGAGAGATGGAGGGACCGGGAGTCGAGGGAATAAATAAACGCTAAAGAAACCCAGACATCTCTTCAAAGCACTGAGTGCTCAGTCTCCTTCAGGCAATAAGACCCTAATAGAGCACACAACCTCTAAGCCCTCCCCATGGTGGGGGACCAGAATGAAAGAGTGCAGTGGTCCCCTCAACGCTGTGCAAAATACCAACTGCTGAGCAAAGAGAGCGCAACTAGGGGAGAAGTCTTGAATGAGATCGGGACCTGGGGCCATCCCTCCCCCACCCAGGGGCCTGGCCACATTCGTCCTGAGTGCCCAGTGTGGGTGTGCTTGACAGTCACCAGAACCTCAGAGCAGCTGGCTCTGCCCTGCACGAACTGGCTAGGGGGATAACGGGTCGACCTACCTTCCATGGGCGTGTTGGGGTCTGGGCGGTTGGCAAAAACCACATCCACATACTCCAGCTGCATCCGCTCCAGGGAGGCTTTCAGTCCTGGGGGAAGAACAGGAGGGTCAGCTGCTTGAGCTTCTAGACCCTCCCTGGGCCTGGCTTTGGGGGCAGGAGAGGGATGAGGGGAGGCTCGTGTCATGTAGAGTTTTTTTTTTTTTTCATGCAGGTTCGTGTCTCAAGATGTCAAGACGTGAGACCCATCCTAAGGGAGCGGGCCATTCCAGAGGTTCTCGGGAGAGCCACAGGCCAAATGTCCAGAGGCCAAATGATTACATGCCTGTTGGGCCACTCTCAGGACCCGGTGGTCTGTGCAGTGACAAGCAGAGCTGGCACCACAGAAGGAGGGAGCAGTATAAAGGCTGCCGGTGTTGGACACACACAAGTCACTAACCCACACCTCCCAACGGCTTGGAGCCAACAGCTAGGGCAAAGGCTGGGTCTGAGGTGGGAGGGCCGGGTACCAAGGCCGCCGTTATGATGAAGAATACTACTTCAAGTAAACATGACTGGAGGGAGAGGCAGAGCCTTCATCCAGTCACCTCCACTCTGGGCTGCATGTCTGACAGTCCCGGCAGCCCTGAAGGGGGGGGCTATGCCCTCACAGGCCTGCTTTCTAGACCCTTTGACACAAGCTCAGGGAAGTGATGGTTCTCCCCCAAGAGCAATCAGCCAGCAAACGCTCAGCCTGCCCTGAAACCTGGCCAGCTCTGTCCAGGCTCATTGCAGCCTTTGTTCAGTAGTGGGGCTCACCCACGCAACCCTTGCAGGTTCAACCCTTTCCCCCACTTCATATCTTTTTGGAGCAGAAGGGAATGGTCAAAGGAGGGCTCTGTGCACCCCAGGGTCGAGGCCTGGGCTGGATCGTTGAGGAAAAGGGTGGGCTACTACGCTTCTTAGCTTTATTCATGTGCAGGGGACACCATGGTTAGAGTCCTTCCTCACCTTCGATTATGTGCTTCCGGGAAAGGCCTCTCTCGGTCTCCGCTCTGAAAAACAGACCAACAGGGCGGGAGATGTTGCAGTTGGTTTATATTTATGATCTGATGTCAGGAGAAAAGCAGGTCAGGAAATTTGACATCCGTGGGTGACAACTACAGGCTCAGGTGGATTCCCAGACGCTGTCCCCAGGGTGGCATGGGGACAAGGAGGACTCTGGTTTTCAATATCACCTCTCTGCTCAGCTTGGATTTATTTACGTATGTTTTTTGAGATAGTTCTCTCTACTTAGCTCATCACCACGAGCCTCAAATCCTCATCACCGCAAACTCTTAATCCTCCTGTCTCAGCTTCCCAAGTATCGGGGTTAAAGCCCAGTTACAGATTTTTTAAGTTAAGAACGAGTCATATATGTTTTTAAAATTTCTTTTCTTTTTTTTTTTTTGACAAGGTTTCATGTGTCCCAGGCTAGCCTCAAATTTATTACATAGCCATGGACGCCCTTCAGTTTCTGCTTCCACTGCCTCGGAAGTGCTGTAATTACAGGCATGAACTAGCACACTTATCTTGTCGGATCTGAGGATGGAAAGCAGGTCTTCATGCATGCCTGGCAAACACTCTTCTAACTGAGCCTCCTCCTCAGCCTAGAAATCATACAACCCTCCTGAGATGAACTCTGCCCTACAGAGAATATAAACTCGGACACCTGGAGACAGGCAGAGTGAGTGATATAGGTGTCCCAGGGACTTTAAGATGGTTTAGACAGCTCACCATTATCTGTTTCTAGAATGTTTATAATGTCATCATGTAAGTATAAATAATAAAAGTTAAGCAGTGTTTGAGTGACAGACAAACTTGGCCAAAGCTCCTTGCAAGTTTGGGAATACGTCAATGGCTGTGATCCCGACCAGAATGGGTGCCAGCCTGCGGGTGGCTGTGCAGAGGCCAACATGCCCTCCCTCCTCAAGACTACGGTGTGACCCTGGGCCCAGCCTTGCACGCAAGTGCTGTCTCCGCAGGAGCTGGGGCTGTGGTGAGCAGTTACCTCTGGGAGCACTGCAGCCCCGCACTTACTTTCCACCCCAGAAGATCTTGGTGGTGATGACAAGGCTGGACCGTCTGCAGGATAGAAGAGAGGGAGGGTGTTACTGGACCTGGCTGGTCCTTGCGGTGGCCTTCCCTCGGCTTATACCTGGGGGTGGGTCGCTCTCTGTCTCTCTCTGTCTCTCTCTGTGTCTCTCTCTGTGTCTCTCTCTGTGTCTCTCTGTCTCTCTCTCTCTCTGTCTCTCTCTCTCTGTCTCTCTCTCTCTCTGAAGTTCAGTGTGAATGGGCGTTTCTGAATTGTGACACTTTTGCCAGGTGCTGAGCCCAGAGTTTGGATCTCCTCACTAAAAGATGTAGCCAAGCTCTCAACACTGCAGCTTGGGAGCTGGGCTTTCAGTGTCTCCTCACAGCGATGGAACAGTGCCTAACACAGGTTCCCATTCTGCTACCTTTGAACTCCATCACCTTCTAAGCACCGAGGGACGTGACGCAGCTGGGTGCTGGGCTGAACCCTGCCACCCCCAGGTCTAGCACAGTCCTGCCAGGCTAGCTTGGTGACTCTCAGGTCCAGACAGCCTCCCCCTATTCACACACTGGTCCCTTTACAGATTGGGACAGTGAGGTCCTTGGCTGAGGTAGAGAAGATGGGGTCCAGCTGAGAGTCAAAGGCTTTCACGTGAACCTGTCATGCCCAGGCCTCCCAGGAACGCATGTGCAGTTCATTTTGGCTGACCTTCCCATGAATCTCTGTGAGTGAAGAAAGACAAAGGTGTGTGTGTGTGTGTATGTGTGTGTGAGTGTGTGTATGTGTGTATGTGTGTGTATGTGTGTGAGTGTGTGTATGTGTGTTTGTGAGTGTAAGTGTGCATGTGCGCATGTGTGTGCATGCACATGTGTATGTGTGTGTGTGTGTGTGCGTGTGTTAGGGAGGGCTAGGACCAATCACAAGAAGAATCACTTTGCCTCAGAGAACTGAACTGTGCACCTACTTAGGGACACGACGAACCCTGTACCACAAGCCTCAGCTGCTGGCATGTCGCCCACTGTGGTATGAAGGCCCACTCCCTCTGGAGGGACAGGAGCTACTTCTGTTCTGAGAAGTCCTCCCTTTCAGCTGGACCAACTGAATGACCCAAGGCTTCGCATGAACAGGAAGGCCACGGGCAGTATTTTCTGTGTGCATGGCAGGGTTTCATGTGGCTGAGGTGACCTCGACTCGCCGATTATTTTGTTTCTTACCTCCTGAGTACTTGGGATTACAGTGTGCCTGGACCACCCCGCCTCATTTATGCAGTGCTGGGAATTGAACCCATGGCTGGTGAGCACCCTCCCAACACTCCTATCCCTCAGCAGTTCTCTTGTTCCAGCCTAGCACTGGCCCTCGCAGTATACTTAGTTAACTCCTCCATAAAAATAAGAAGAGGGTGAAAGAAGAAAAGGGGCTGGCGGTCTGGCTCAGTGAGGAAGGGTATGTGCTGACAAGCTCGATGCCCTGAGCTGGTACAATGTGCCACGTCCCCACCGTGTGTAAATAATTCAAAGGCAATTAAAAAAAAAACATGCAAGGGACTGATGGTCCACCCTGTGGTAATCAGGAAGGAACAATCCACAAACTCTCATGGTTCTCACTGCAGGGCTATCCAAGCCCAGGCTTGCCCCAGACAGATGGCTTGCCCACCCTTGCCAGGAACCCCAGCATGCATTTGCCTGTGCCGCATCCCCGCCCCCATCCCCAGCCTTTCTTGTGTGCCCTGAAGACAGACCACAGAGAACCAGATAATTACCTCCATCCCTTCTTCTTAATGATGTTTCCTAATACCACTTCAGCCCTGCAAAGCAAGAGAGAAAGAGAGGCAGACATGGGGATTTCATCAGTGCATAACGGAAAGAAAAAAAAAAAATCAAACCCAGCCCCACCGTGACAATGGGCCATCAGGTCTCCTCTGTGAAAATACCACTGGGGTTGGAACACCAGGCTGCCTATGTGGCTTTGGCCCTGCAGCTCATTCCAGAAGGGCTAAGGCCTGCAACCGTCCAGGACTGGAAGCAGGGGCTCTGCTAGTCCCCGGATGCAAAGGCCTGTGTCTCTAGGTCTTGTCTAGCGGCAGCGGCAGCACCTTTGCACGTGCAGGGAAGGAAAGGTTCCCCAGAACACTGTTTCCTTTACTGGCTACAGATATACTGGCTACTGTGTATGGGTAAAATGTAACAATGTAACAGGTGAATCTGTTTGCAAAAGGTAAGCCATGCTCAAGGGCTATTCTCTGCGTGCAGAAAGAATGCACTTTCTGCGGCCAGCGCGTAGGGCTTCCAACAAAGCCTGTGTGTCTGCCTACTTTGCGAGTGCCTGTCTTCTTTGTGCGTGTGTGTGCACACATGTGTGTATGTGCGTGCCTGTGTTGGCGTGCAGTTTGCTTCTCTCTAAAACAACAGAGAGCCACCCAGCCCACTGCCTGTTCTTGGCATGGCTCAGGTTCCTGCTCCAAACTGGGGCCAGCTGGGGTCACAAGCTGGCTGTTCCAGCCTCCCCTGGCACAGCAGTGCAGATTAACTTTTAAGAACTTTCTGCTTGTAGCAAAATGTTTCTAAGCAAAAACAACAGACGGAAAATGATCCAAACCCAGTGCTACATTCCAATTATAAAGCGGCTGAGTCATCCAGTCAGAAATAATGGGCTCTAATTTGCAAGCTGTTTAGCATATATTCTGAACGCCCCTCATTTATGGTCAGGACGCACTGAAAATTCAATCAGCTCTGGCCTCCTTTCATTCCTTGGTCTCCCAATTTGTCAGACAAAAGGCCAAGAGAGGAGGGAGATGATAGAGAGGCTGTCTGAGTAGCTAACCCAAGCCTCTTGCTTGCAATCCTGGCGGCAACCTACGAATGTGGGCACAGAAATACTGCGGGTCACCAAGAAATGCACAAATTACTGTCAGCAAGATATGTGTATGCTCACCCTTGGTCGCTGAGGGGCAGCCCTGGCTGACTGCTTGCTGGAGCTATGGCTAGAAGCCCCCTTGGCTAGAGAAGCTTGGCCTGTCACCAAGACATAGAGCTCAGCCTTGGCTGCTAGTGTTAAGGCATCTCTGTGGTGTGAGTAGGCTGGCTTAGCTACAGGCTGGGCTGTGGAGTTACAGAGGCTGGCTGAAGAGTTGAGGGAAGGGGCCTCCATAAGCAATGCCATCCAGAGCAGAAAGCGTCTGCCCCAGGCCTTGGCTTCTAGCAGGGAGTTCCCAACAGGCCCCAAGGATGCCCAGTCTACAGCATGGTTGCCCCGGCATGCCAGCTCTCTATGTCCAGTTAAACGGAGTGAAGGCAGTAACAGATTGGAGTTGGTGACTGCACAGTGGTGGGGCCATCTGGTGATGGAAGAGGTGGCATGAATCTATGTTTGCTCTCCTAGGCAGCAAAATCCAGGCAGGCGCTGGCCAGAGAGGAGACCGGGAGATAGATGCCTTTAGGCTGGGCATCTGCACCAGGCTCTTCAACCTCTGGCCGCTTGGCTTAGATCATCTGTCTGTCTGGAAAGCATCTCGCTTTGATTGGAAGCTGCTGTCTGTTTGGAGAAGGGGGGGAGACCGTGCTGCTGGTGGGAGCTAAAGGGTTGGGGGAGCAGCTGTCAGCTCCCCAGGGCCTTGCTAGGGATTGGACAGTGGTCCAGTTGGGGTCCCTGGTGATTGGTGCTTTGGGTCCCTCTCCAGACAGCAGGTAATATCCCAAAGGCTGAGAAGCAGATGTTGGCCCCGTGGTCATGGTACACAGTGGGTCAGGGCTGCAGCCAGCGCCACTGATGGGAACTTGGCTGGTTCCAAACTGGAGCGGGCCAAAGGGGCGACAAGTGGGAGCCGGCGAATGACTTCACCAACAAAAACAGACTCTTGGAAATGTGATGCAGGAGAGTGGATGATTTGATTACAGCCCGCCTTTCAACTCGAAGCCAAGGACTCTGGCTGAAGGGCATTGGGCCTTTGCATAATTGAGTTGGAAAGTTCGTTGTCAGAACGGGAAGGGCTACCTTCACACTGAAGTTTACCAGAGCCTGATCTCTCCGGATCAGAGAGGCTGTCTGCCCTGCAGCGCCTACCTCATCATTAAGACGTGAAAATGTCAGGCTCATGGGGCTGGCCAAAACTTACCAGCACAGCCTGGGACAACAGCAAATCTCAGCTCGAGCCCAGCACTGTGCCTTGGAAACCTTGGTACCTGGGCACTTGGGGGTGGTGCTGGGGGTGGGGGGAGGCGGTAAGAAGCAGCCAGTGCCTGAGCAATCTGTGTCAGGCCCTATCAAAATATCTCCTAAGGTCATTTAGAGTTTTATAAAGAAGACAGAGTGGAAGACACTATTGTGAGCACCCAGGAAGGAGAGACAGGGGAACTTGAGACATGGTGCCCTGTGCCACCTTCTCCCGGGAGAAAGGTACGTACTTCCCAGCAGCGTAGACCTCCGCTGTATCGAACAGGTTGATGCCATTATCGTAGGCCAAGGTCATTAGGTGCTCTGCCATCTGAAACGATAAAGCAAGAGTTGTCGTGGCCAGCACTGTCTTGCCAGCTCTGGGGAGGCTCTAGAGCATCAGCCCTGAGGCCCAGGCTCTTCTCCTGGCTCCGTTGCCCTCCCTTCCACAGCACAGGGAGGCAACACACCTTTCAGAAAAACCAAGATGGTAAGATGGATGAGGGAAACAGCTTTCTGGCTGTCAATGTTTGGGGGTCACCGTGGAACGTGGCAGCTGTCCTGAGCAGAAGAGTGTCTATCTAAAATCCACGTAAACCAGAACCTCAGGATGAGACCTGACATGAGAGTAGGGTCTTTGTGAACACAATCACTGCCTCCAGAAGGGCCAGGCATGCCTTCCAATGTGACTGGTATGTTAGGAGAGATGGTTACAGGGTACTGCAGCGGTGCCTATAGACATAGGCCTGTGTGGCAAGAAATGTCACCAGAAGCCGAGAGACAGGGGCAGACCCCTCCCCATGCCTTTGGAAGGACCAGGTCTTGACCAAACCTTCAGACTCCTTACTTCCTGAACTGTGTGAGGATAAAATTCTGAAGACGCACGGTAGGCAGCACCTTGCTGTGTCAGTCATGGGGCCCAGCAGTCGATCTTAGTAGGATGGTCACCTGCCGTTTTTTAAAGGATTTATCTGTGTATTTATCTCACTGAACCTCTCCCAGCTGATGCAGGAGGGCTGCACCGACCACAGAAGGCCCACAGCCGCTCCACAGCGGAGCTGAGAGTCACATGGCCTTGGCTGGTGTGCCTTCAATATGAGACTTGGATAACAAATATCCTAGCCAGCAAGCAATCTCACTGCTGACCAGACCTTACTCCTTGGGCTTCCTGAAGGGTGAGCTTCGTCCCATGGCAAGCAGCAGGGGCCTGTGACAAAGGAAGCTGGGAGCACAGCTGTCATCGATGGCCCCCACCAAAGTATAGCCGAGAGGTGCTCCTGAGTGTCGCAGTCTGCTGAGGGCCAAACCTACTTAGTGCAGTTCAGGTACCAGTCCTCCCTCTGCAGACAGTCCACTGTGGCTGGATGACTCCAGTCCCTGCCTGGTCCTCTGATAGTCAGTGGTTTCAGGAACCATCAGGCAAAGGGAGATGACATTCTAGTGTGTGTGTGAGCATGCATGTGTGCTGAGGGACTCTGGGAGTGAGATACTGAGAAGAGCAACCTAGGGAAGAGATCCATGCCCAGCAGTCGGTGTTCATGGGAAGGTGGACTTGGTACTTTGAGAACCAGGCTGCACTGAAACCTGCTTTTCAAACACTGTAGATAGTGTACAGCCTGAAGCCGAGCCATAGACCCTGGGGTCCGAGAGCCAGAAGGACCGGGAGATGAGGCCATGGGGCTCTGGAGAGACACCCACAGGGAGGCTTGCTGTCTCTGCTGCTGCAGTGGGGTCCGAGTGTGAGCATGTCCGATGCATGGCTACCGTTGTTCTCTGGGGGGGTCTGATGCAGCTGAACCTCCTCCCCAGAGCCACCCACTGAGGAACCTCTGCATGCTGGGGCACAGTTCTGTGATACCAAGGCACACGTAAGTGTGGCTTGCTCACTGATGCTCTGTTGCCTTGCGTGACCTTTTCTACCGGCCAGCCAGGGCCATGTCTGAAGGACACTGAATGCTGTATTCCACTGGATAGGTGTGATGGTTTGTATATGCTTGGCCCAGGGAGTGGCCCTATTAGGAGGTGTGGCCTTGTTGGAGTAGGTGTGACCTTGGAGTGGGTGTGGCCTTGTTGGGGTAGGTGTGGCCTTGTTAGAGTAGGTGTGGCCTTGTTGGAGTAGGTGTGGCCATGTTGGAGTGGATGTGTCACTGTGGGTGTGGGCTTTAAGATCCTCATCCTAGCTGCCTGGAAGCCAGTATTCTGCTAGCATCCTTCAGATGAAGATGGAGAACTCTCAGCCCCTCCTGCACCATGCCTGCCTGGATGCTGCCATGTTCCTGCCTTGATGATAATGGACTGAACCTCTGAACCTGTAAGCCAGCCCCAATTAAATGTTGTCTTTTATAAGACTTGCATTGATCACGGTGTCTGTTCACAGCAGTAAAACCCTAACTAAGACAATAGGGGACACATGGCTTCCCTGGAGGGCTTCTGAGAGGAGAGGGCTCTGACACTTTTGTCTTTGGGGGACTTTTTTTCAGATAGGCATATATTTCTGTCCTATCCCCTCCACCCGACATGAAGAAGGCCGTAGCTGCTCTGCATGTTGCCCCAGCACACACAGCACTTCCTGGAAGTCAGGTAAAAGCGTCTCATTTCTTAACTTGTTTCCTTTATGTTAAATACATACTTACGGGGGCTGGCAATGTGAGTCAGCAGGGAGAGGACACTCAGGGTGGAGGCAGGGGGATCAATTCAACATTGTCTTTGGCTACATAGTAAGTTCAAGGACAGGGAGTTCATGAGACTCTCTAAAAAAAATGTCCTTACTAAAATCTGTGTGAGAAACTTGTCACTCTTAAGCTCAAACCATCTGAAGGGGCCGGGGTGGTGGTGGAGGTGGCTCAGTGGTTAACACCCGGGGTGGAGGTGGTTCAGTGGTTAATGACACTTGTCGCTCTTGCAGAGAACACAGGATCGGTTCCCAGCACTCACCTGTCAGCTTACAAATACCTATAACTCCAGTTCTAGGGCATCTGACACCTTCTTCTGGTCTCCTCGGCTACTGTATGCACGTGGTGCACAGACATATATGCAGGCAAAGCACTCAACACACATAAATAGAACTGAAAACAACAATAACTTTTTTGAGACAGGGTCTCACTACACAGTCTGAATGTCCCTTAATCCCAGGCTTTTCTTGAACCTCCTGAGTGTTAGGACAGTGGAAGTCATTGCCATCTCATTCATTCATTCATTCATTCATTCATTCATTCATTCATTCTTTCATTCATAGTTTTGCACAGGGTTTCTCTGTGTAGCCCTGGCTGTCCTGGAACTTGCTCTCTAGACCAGGTTGGCCTTGAACTCAGAGATCTGCCTGCCTCCTCTGCCTCCCGAGTGCTGGGGTTAAAGGCGTGCATCACCACTGCCCGGCGTTGTTGTCATCTTTAAACAGACAGTTCACTAGCACTGACACACCCACACTCCTGTGCAGCCATCACCACCATCCTCCCCAGAACCTTCACATCTGCACGACAGCACCACAGATACTCGTGGATGGCTGCTGTGACGTCCCAGCACGGGAGTCAACAAACTGTCCCCAGGTGGGACAGATGCTTAACGTCTCAAAACATCGCGGGCTAGAGGATCTGTCAAGCATTCAGCTTTGTCCTTGCAGCAGAAGCAGCCAACCCCGTGTCAAGCAGTAAGTCTGTGTGCCGATAAAACTTTACTCACACACACACACACACGCACACACAAAACAAGACCTCAGACACATCGAGAGAGAGACAGGAAGTGGATTAGAGGTTAGCAGAGATGGAGAGTGTTACCACTGAAAGGAGTGAAGTTTCTGTTTGGAAATAGAAGTTACATGGCAACATGAAGACATCTAACGAACTAGACTCAAGATGATTAAAGCAGTCATCTTGTGTGTGTGTGTGTGTGTGTATGTGTGTGCATGCACGTAGGGACAGGGCTACAGGTCAACCTTGGCCGTTATTCCTTCCACTACCATCCAACTGTCCATTTTATCTCATGTGAACCTCTTATTTGTCCTTCAGGTCCCACTTAGGCTGGCCAGTGAGCCGCAGAGATCCTCCAGGTCTATGTTTCCAGTGCTGGGATTCCAAGTCCACACTGCCATTCCCCCACCCCCCTTTTGTTAGTTCTGGGGATTCACTGGCTGAGCCCTCTCCGGCTCTAACATGGTAAGTTTTACATTTCAAACATTTAACCAAAAGTCCTCCAAGTGGAGGAAAAGCAGTCCACAATAGTCTTTGACCAAACAGGCAGAGAATAAACACTTGGCCCTCCTCACCCGATGCATTCGGGGGTCCCTAACATTTGGCATATTTTTTCAAAAATACAATCTAGGGGATGTAACACAGAAATTCTTCTTGTTCCCTCACTAGGTCGTTTTTGACTGCTATATCCTTCCAGAATCTTGCCTGTCATCCGTTAGTCCTCTGATCCTGAGGTATGGCCTCCAGCATCTTTATCTGTCACCCTGACCTCCACCGAGACATGGTGGGGACAGAGCCAGCGGGAACTGCCATCTGAGATCCATCCATCTATACTCTTTGGGGCCACGGATCTTTTCATGATAGAGTCACGTGTCCGAAAAAACGCCACGCCCTATAGCTAGTGCCAAGGACAGTTCAATGTCATCTCCTGTGTCACAACCACACTGAAGGGGGACCAGACCGAGTCAGACTTATTTGAGACAAACCACATGTGTCCCATGGCTCCAATTCCTACTCCGAGCTCTGGAGATCAGAGTTTCACCTTAGAAGCTCCCGACTCACCCTGAGACACCACCCTCCTACCCAGCAGCCTCAGCACCCAGGACAAACAGTTCAACGACCATCTACTGCTATAAAAATAAAGAACAAAACCGCACACTCCACTTAAATCACGATGGAAGCCAAATTTCCCCTGAAAACGAAGGAGTCGCAGCTAACAAGGTCTCAAATGAACTCACTTATTAATTTTTAAACACAAACCTTTCTACAGCAAATCGGGCGAACGCCATGGCTGAGTTGGTGCAGATGCCCAGAGCTCTTTCTAACCTCTCCCCTATCTGGAAGTGAACCCATTCCCTCCTGACAGGCCCTGTGATGCCAGCAGCATGTGAATTTGCTCTTTCTTAGTGTCACCTTGTGTCCCAATAGCAGATTAGCCCCAGAAGAAAGCGGTTCTCAGCAGCCAGAGGAGCACACGGTCAGGAACACAGTGGGCCGGCAGCCCATGAAGGTTCTCCAGCTTGCAGGAAGTCTGAATTCCCGTAACAGACACGAACGGATGAGCCGCCAAGTGGCACACTTAGTGTGGCTCAGATCCGTAGCAACCTTTCTCACTTGGAAAACACGGGATCTTCGGCTGCTTGGGATCATGAGAATCCTGGATTCCCAGGAGCCGAGGACATGCTAGATAGTGCCACCAGGTGCAACATGGTTTTTGCCCTCTATTCCTTGGCTTTCTTAGCCACTGGGGCAAGATACCCCCAACAGAGAAAAAGAGGCTGCCACAGAGTTTTCCCTGAGCACACATAGTCCCTGGTGGGGACTTAACCATGTACCTTGGGGCTGAGAGAGCTGTCTTACCTCATCCGTGATCTGGCCCCCGAAGGTCACCCATGTTCCTGAAAGGAGACACATAGGCTCAAGTGAGATGATCTGACAGTGGCCCAGAGCTGTCTCATGGGTATTCAGACTTTGAAGTGTAGGGATGGGGTCAGGGACAGCCTCAGGCCACGACGGCTGTGTGTTGAGCATACCCTGTGTGTGTGGGTGCTTAGCCTCCAGGGTGTCTCCGGATAAAGGGAGCAGTAGCCTGTCTGTAGGCCCAGGAGGGCTGCGGCCTCTGAAATGTCCATATGGAGCCAGTGTGGGGCACTTGGGAGGCTGAGACAGGGGACTCTCCTGAGTGTGGGGCCAGTGTGGAGCTGCCCCAGAGAGCAGAATGAGGTGATGAGGGTATGTCCCTGGTGTCAGGCCCTTCTTGGAAAGGACTGGGGTGGTTGTTTGGGTGAGAGGGGTAAAGGGTGTTTTTACCTTGGAGGTGGAGGGCATCAGATTCAGAGGATAGAGCTCACATCTGGAGAAAGGAACACGGCAAGACCTATTGGTCTTTCCTGGGGATCATCCCTCTGAAAGCTAGCTTAGAAGCCAGGAAGAAAGCTTCCTGGCCCAGGGATGGTCAAGGGCTGCCCTGACTTCTGGGTTGGGGTGAAGGGCTGGGTGTAAAGGACTCGCAGGGTTCTCCTGGTCTCCCTGCCCTCCTGTGCTAAGGCTGTGGCTGTTCCTTCTTGCCCGCTGGCTGCCATGGCAACCTAATCTCTCAGAAGCATAGGTTCTCAGTGTAGCTCTTATGAAGGGTGGGGCTGGCTCTCCTGAAGCCCCATATCCTTGTTCATGAGGGGTTCTCATACTTACCAAGCCCCAGGCAGGAGACCCGAAGGCCAGATTTGCCCAGATTCCTGAAAAAGAAAGAGTGGGTCAGACCTTGGTCCAGGCAGCTTGTCTCCAGCTAAGTTTCATCTCAAGCATCAGACTGCTGCCTGCTTTCACCCGGCCACAGAGAGTCTTGTGAGGGAGGCCCCTTCTGGCCCGCCCTGGGGAGTGACATGCCAGTTGTCCCCCAGGCCCACCCTGGGCCCACACAGGCCAGCAGAGGGTTGCAGAGCTGTCTCCAGGACAGATGCCAGTAAGGATGGCTGTTTTGATGGACAGACTGTGAGGTGAATTCTCTTCCCCAGAAGCCACATTCGTGACCTCTATTATTAAAAGAGAGTGCTGTTTGTCCTTCTCTCTTTGAACAGAGACATGAGGTTAGCCCTGTCTCATCCGGGCTACAAAGCTGACCTTTGACCTTTAACGTTTCAAAGGCTGGTGATTTGGGTGGCACTGTGGATCTCCAGCAGGGTGGCTGTCATCTAACACAGGCAGGCCTGGCGGCCCATGAAATAATCACGCATGGCCCACTGAGGTACAGACCTGGTAGGACACATCTTAGCACACAGACAGGCTTACCATTAATGTCTTTAGGAGACTGGAGAGGGTGACAAAGTTCTATCAGAGACTGGCCTGCCTGTCTGTCCCTGTAGAGGCCAGCCTCCCTCCCCGCCCCCAATCTCAGTATTGACAACAGATCAGGGGCCCTTAAGCATTCAGTCAGCTGTATAGCAGCAGGTCTCATGGTTCTCTAACACAGAGCACATACTGAGATCATCCCAGGAAGTGGAGAATGGGGTTCCCTTTGGCCGCCAGCTCAAGCTCCCCATATGTTTCTCCATGTGCGTTCACTCCTGCCCTGTGTGTGAGAGACAATCTGACCAGATGGTAAGGCTGAAAAGAGGCAGGGATGTCACAGCTATCCCTGGGCCCTTCCCCTTCAGGGCTGGACTCTACTTCCCTGTGAATGCTTACTGCTTCCAGGGGCCAGCAGCTCCTAGGACCAGCCGGATACTTCCAGCAAGGATGCTGGCCGCAGTGAGGATGGATGACAGAATTCACAGGTCTGGTGCCCAGGCACAGGACATCGACACATATGTATTTTGTTTCCCAAAGAGGCAGATGCCCAAGACAGAGAGTATATGACACATGAGAGGTCTTCTCTTTGTACAAACCAACCATGAACATATCATGAAGGCACTGATGAACCAGGCATGGTGGTACATACCTGTGGTCTTAGCATTATTATTATTTGTTTTGAGACAGGGTCTTTCTATTCTGTATCACTGGCTGTTTTGGAACTCACTGCATAGGCTAATCCAGCCTTTAATTCCCAGAGATCCACCTGCTTCTGACTCCCAAGTGCTGGGATTAAGGACATGTGCCTGTTCTGGTCCCAGTATTTGGAAATCTGAAGCAGGAGGATTGCCGAGAGTTTGAGACCATCTTGGGCTACATAGCAAGACCCTGTCTCAAAAATCCAAAACAGCAAGACAAAAGAACCCCAGCCCCCAAAACAGAATAGGCATTAATATTTCTATATTAAAAAGAGAAGTTATGTTTCTGGGCTTCTCCCTTGTAAACCAGGAATTCAGTTCCTCCAACAGTGCCCTCAGGCATCAGTCAGCCCATAGACGCAGATGTCTGGACCTAGACTGAAAGGCCGGGTTACATCACATATAGATTCTATAGGGGCCATATCTAGAGCAATTTAGTAAACTTCCCTTGTGCTGGACAGAGAATAACTGTAGTAGGATGTGACCAAGAGGCACAGTGGTCATTGCAACTGAAGACTGACAGCTTGCCTTAGTTAGATTTCTGTTGTTGGAGAGCATGGGTCTATCTTAGTCCGAGGCAGGACCCTGAGGGTGGAGAGAGAAGCAGGAGTGCTGCTCATCCTGTTCTCTCTCTCTCTCTCTCTCTCTCTCTCTCTCTCTCTCTCTCGATTTAATATTTATTTTATTTATATGAGTACATTGAATCTGTCTTCAGACACACCAGAAGAGGGCATCAGATCCCATTACAGATGGCTGTGAGCCACCATGTGGTTGCTGGGATTTGAACTCATGACCTCCGGAAGAACAGTCAGTGCTCTTAACCGCTGAGCCATCTCTCCAGCCCTCGACCTGCTTTTTTATATAACCCAGGACGACTTGCCCAGGGATGGCGCTGTCCACAGTGATCTGGGTCCTCCTGTGTCAATCATGAAAATGCACTATAGGATGCCCACGGGCCAAACTGATGGGGACGCTTTCTCAATCAGGGTTCCTTTTTCCCAGATGACCCTATCCTGTGTCACACTGACAAAACCAACCAAACCAAACCAAACCAAACCAAACCAAACCAAACCAAACCAAACCAAACCAAACCAAACCCAGCCTACACAGCAGCTGTTGGGTCACAGAACACTTTGAGAAGCAGATAAAGATCTATTTGTAACATTGTGGGGGTTGCAAAACCCTGGACACCAACCCCTGCCGCCCCCCAGATAAATCTAGGTATTCAGAGGGTTGTCTGGATCCCCGATTCTGTAAAACCTCGTCACGTGTGACTATAAAGTTTTCATCTGTAAATCCATTATCCGCGTTGTGCTGGAACTGGAATTCAAACTGAAGTCCTTACACACTGGAAAACACTGTTCTGGGAGAAAGAACAGCTTTGGAAACAAGCAGCCGAGTCTACCTGTGCCTGAGGCTGAAGAGCAGGCACCTGTCGCCTGACAGTTTGGGGCAGCACATTAAGAAGCCATTCTCTTACGTCTCACCAAGAAACCGATGAATTTCCCACAATGGCTCCTTCTCCTCGGTCTTGCTGGGGATCTGGGAGTATGGCTCTGGGTCCTCATCTACTGCCTTTAGGGATACTTTAAAAAATAAAAAACTGGGGCTCTGCTCCATGCTGCAATTACCACGCTCAACTTGTTCCCCATTAAATGATGGTATTGGTTCTGCCATCTGCTGCCAGGCTTCCGGAGAAGGAATACGAGGGGACAGTTCACCTCGAGGCTGACAGCTGTATATGTAGGGCTGGTGAGTAGGGGAGTGGGGTGGGGGGGAAGGATCGTCACCGCGCCAGGCCTTCGTGGTGGCAGTTACTATGCCGTCATGCAAAACATCAGAACACAAAAATAAGCCACGTGTTTCCTCCCGTTAATTAAAACTTGATGTGATTATAAAATAATTAGTCCAAGTCCCTAAGCCTTTCTCACTGGCTTTATGTCTCCTGAGTTCTGGGCTAATGAGGCCTCTCGGACATCGCCTTGACCAGGCAAGTGCAGCCGCCTGGCCAGCAGATTCCTGCCAGGATGGCTGGCATGTTTCAGGAAGGGTCTCAGATGAAAGGCATATATATATATATACATATATATTTATGCATATGTATATACATACATGCATATGCATACATGCATACACATATATACATACGTACATACATAGGTACATACATATGCACCCACACGTGCATACATGCATACATACATAGATAATTCTACTTAGTCCCAGTTTTTAATGGCCACTGAAACAGAGATCTAAATCACAGAAATTCTAGGACAGAGAATTCCATTCTGATTGCCCTCATCAAGCTTAGAGGATGGAAAATGAGTTCTTTACCCAAGAAGTTTGCTGAAGACCACCTAACCGACATCTTGGGGACCTGGGAGGCCAAGGTATCAGCATATGTTAGCCTTGTGCCAGCATTTACCATGATGGGACCTCTGGGCTGTGGCTCCTTTACATCTGGCCTACCTCCTGAGTGCTGGCACTGGGGAGGTTTAAACTGCCTGTCGTAGCACCAGCCACAATCTCAGATGAGCCTCCTGTAGTCTGCAAGGACCACCTGTGTTTCAACTGTGTGAGGTTACCAGGAAGCTGCTGCCTTTGACTCCTGCTTTGAGGAAGAAGACTTCCCCAGTGGGCTGCCTGGGGCCCAGAGGGCTTCCTTGACTTGTTCAGCCTGCACAAACCCAGGGAAGATCCCTTTCCCTGGAGACCCTGTGTGGAGAGACCCCCATCCCCTTCCTTCAGAGCACAGACCCTTTGACTCCCAGTGTCACATGGGAGGGAGATGAGCCCCCTGACCTTCCTATGAAGCTGGGCCCTTCCTTCCCAGTGTGGGAGCTCCACAGCCAGCTCTAGGTGGACCACATAGGAGGGAAGAAGAAGAAAAAGGTCTTTCCATGGACACCTGGACACTCCCTACATCCTACTGACCAAACACAGGACGAGGAGGGAAGAAGCAGTCCCCAAATCATGGAGAGAAATAAGCCAACAGCCTGAGATGCCCACAGCACAACCCACCTGGAACCCTCTCATCCCAGAATTCCTGATGGAGGAGGCTGGTCTGGCCCCCAGAAAGGCGTGCTCATTTCCCTGGTGGTTCTCCACCATCAGACTAACACTAGTGACGGCAGTCTAGCAGTCGGTCAGTGCTGTAAAGCGCTCAGGTACCTACTCCTTTCAGGGCATTTTCTGGGATCTGTCGTGATCTTAGGGGAGGACAAGAAGTGGCAGGGGCTTGTGGCTGATGCTCTCCTGGAAGAGCAAGCCGTGAACTCTGATGAAGAGATTTACTATTGTGGCTGAGCTCCAGAAAGGAAACAGGAGGAGGAGGAGAAGAGGGAGGAAGGGGAAGAGGAAGAAGAGGAGGGTGACTATATACCATACCCTCCTCCTGAGGCCAAGAGAGGAGACTTGGGGTTGATCAAGTCTCAACTTACTTTTTAGCAAGTCTACCAGGTTCTAAGAGGCCCTCAGCACAAACTGCCCCGGCTGCCAGGCCGAGGTCTGCAGGAAGGTGAGAAGCCCACTCAGTCCCTGCCCCACAGAACTGACTGCTCTGCCTACCTATATCTCATCCCTGGCTGCTTCAAGCTGGTGTCGTTGCTGTTTGGGGCACTCTGTACCGACAGCTGTCCCAGGCTCCGGGCCACCATGGCCACAGCGCGGAAGCGTCCACGGGTACCCGGGCTGGGGCTGCCGGCTGTCGAGCGACCCAGCCGATCTTCGGGGCCACGGCTCTTGAGGCT